TTAATGTTGCCTCTGCTTCCTGTTTGCTCAACAAAAGATGTTCTTCCACTCAAAGGCCTCCATCTCACCAGGAAGTATGCACAGTAACTTTCCCTGGGTTAGGGTTATTGTTTGGGTTAGTCCAGACAGGGGCCTTGTTGCATATCACCCTCCTCTACATTATCATAGTGGCTGATAAAAGCCTTACAGTGAACCAATACCAACCTCTAAAGCTCATGAACTCGTGTTTCTTATGGACAAGACTCCACAGCATCACCATCCCTAAACTGAAAGCGGTCTTATGTTGGCGTGATGACGTTTAGTAGTTCATACAGTCAGTTTGCAAACCCTGTTTTTATGACACAGAAGCTTCGGACAAGTCAAAAAAAACGAATGTTGGGCTATAAAGGAACTACAGCACGGTCACATGACTTCACGTCACCACCGCTAAGCTAAAGGTGGCTAATGTTGGGCTATAAAGGAACTACAGCCGGTCACATGACTTCACGTCACCACCGCTAAGCTAAAGGTGGCTAATGTTGGGCTATAAAGGAACTACAGCACGGTCACATGACTTCACGTCACCACCGCTAAGCTAAAGGTGGCTAATGTTGGGCTATAAAGGAACTACAGCACGGTCACATGACTTCACGTCACCACCGCTAAGCTAAAGGTGGCTAATGTTGGGCTATAAAGGAACTACAGCACGGTCACATGACTTCACGTCACCACCGCTAAGCTAAAGGTGGCTAATGTTTGGCTATAAAGGAACTATAGCACGGTCACATGACTTCATGTCACCACCGCTAAGCTAAAGGCGGCTAATGTTGGGCTATAAAGGAACTACAGCACGGTCACATGACTTCATGTCACCACCGCTAAGCTAAATGTGGCTAATGTTGGGCTATAAAGGAACTACAGCACGGTCACATGACTTCACGTCACCACTGCTAAGCTAAAGGTGGCTAATGTTGGGCTATAAAGGAACTACAGCACGGTCACATGACTTCACGTCACCACCGCTAAGCTAAAGGTGGCTAATGTTGGGCATGATGACATTTAGTCGTCTCATTTAGACACTGTAATTCACCAGTATGTTAAAATCTCTTCAGCTTGTGTTAACTACAGACCTTATTTCAGGCTAACAACCAAAAACACAGCCAAAGAACCATTGACTTCCGAAAATATAACCGGAAGTGGTAAAACAGTGAGTAATTTCCAAGGTTTAGGACTCAAAACAAGATAGCATGTACCGCCAACTTCTAAGGAAACCACACTTTGCATTGCCTCATTTATTCGCTCAGATCTAGTGGTGTAAACGTGCCCTAATTTACTTAGTTGGCTTTAAATGACGACAGTAGCCACGCATGGCCTGTTAGCTGACAGTGTATTTACATACTAACCATATGTACCTAACCCTAACCATGTATCTCACCTACTTTTACATCCAGCTTTCTTCATATCAACCCAAATACAGAACCCTTCAGTGATCTTTCTCACATGCTTCCTCCCAGGTACCACGTCCTCGTATCAAAGTACGGTCGGTTGGCACCGCTGGCGGAGGTGGACCTGAGCCCCCGCAGCACCATGGTGGACGTTCGCTGGGGGGAAAAAGTGGAGGCCATGAGTCTCCATTTGGAGCAGACGGTGGCCGAACTTAGGAAGCACATCCGGGCTCTCTTACAGCTTCCCCACCACGGCATCCGGCTCTTCTACATCAACCGGGAGATGTGTTCGGTGTTGGGACCCGAGGAGTTAAAGTGCGGCACTCGGGCTCTTCATTCCTACCGGATTCAAGACGGGGACGAAATTCTAGTCGTGCCGAAAGTCAAAAGTCGCAGCAGCAGCGCCTCAGGTCTTTGAGTCGGTACTTTAGGAACCTCCGATGAACACTTACTGGATACTAAGCTTTGACTTGACCCTTTTTTTTAGATCAACAAAAAGAGGAGATTAATGTCAGTCTTGAATGTAAAGACGTTTGCTCTCCAGAACAAATCTATACGATAGAAGTATTTGCACACCGCATTCACAAAGCTTGAGTGCTTTAGTGGCTTGAGGTAACAATGCAGCTAACATCTAGTTTTAAAAAACGTTATGCAAATTCGGACCGGTTTCATCGTCCTCCGGAAATAGTTGTACCAGTTAAACGCACAAAATGCACATTAATCTAAAACTATTTTATAATAGGGTTGTTTTTGTTATTAAACGTCAGATGTTAGGTTGCAAAAAAAGTTCCCCCTTGCTTGCCACATGCATGGGACTTAGTAGTGTTTATATAACTGTTTTAAAATGGGTTGAGGAAGAATACATGAGGCACACAATACAAGCTGCTGTTTGCGTTATGTAGTTACACTGTTCATTGTGTTTTCAAAATGCCTACGCTGACTTTCCCGCACCATACTCGGCAGCTTCCAGATGTGTTCTCTAGGTCTGTGAGCAGTGCATCTTTGGAGAGTACAGTTCTAGCAATATACTCCTTAGAAGACAACACAATAACCAACATTGAACTTGTATCATACAACCAAGCTGACACAAGCACACACCAGAATACAGATAAGTTCTGTAGGCAAACAGATTTACTCCTGAGCGTATCCTGTCCCCGGACGGAAAGCTCTCTCTGCTTCTTCCCGTTACTTGGATCACTTTCTCTTTCCACATCCAACTTTATTTATATAGCACATTTAAAAACAACAGTGTTGACATAAAGTGCTCTACATCAATACATATATAAAAAGCAGCATAAATACGTTTAGACAATAAAACCATACTTGTAGCCACAGACTGAAAAACCCTCAAACACGATGTACAAACATTTAAAAACACCACAAAATAGAAAACTCCAATTTCGTAAACACCGACTGATACGCCTTACACGTGGTCTGCAAGAGCACGGGAGAACAAGAAGGTCTTTAAACATATGACTCTTCGTGGTGGCTACATACCCTGTGATATGTACCCACAATGCAGTGTGTTGGGGAAAACGTGCAACACAGTCAGTACGCCCTACGAGATAAGTTTAAAGTGAGTTAGGGGGCGAGGACGGAGGAAAGGAAGGAGCGTTGATGCTCGAGTTACTGCAGGTCTTGAATGGAGGAACTCTCTCGCCTGTCGAGTGAAACGCTGAGAAACCTCACACCAGCCGCTGTGTCACCTACACTTCCGCTGCGTTTGGGTTCGAAAGGGTTCAGCTAACAGACCCCCGCCCCTCACCCATTCACCCCGATCTCTCCTTTACATCCGTCTGGGAAAAACCCGACACCTCCGAGTGTCTGCAGTTTCACAGGAGGTCGGGAACTTCTGCATCGGCTCACTTCACTGTGGATTGTTTCCAATCAAAGAATAGACAGAAAAAGGGACCTGCTGATAAGTGACAGGTTTTCCTCTGCAGCTCATAACCAGAATTTAAGAATCATATGAAGGGGAGGTACTTGATTACCTGTCAGCCCGAAACTGAAAAATCGTATAATATACCTCTTACATTTATCTAATCACTGACTACAGCTTCCTTCTCCCAAATACTGGAGCCTGGATATGTTATTTAGAGATCCTTATAGCCTGCTTGGGCAACACAAGATTATCCTCCCTTTGGCAGCCGTCTTTTTTGGCTGTAATCTGGCATGGAAATTCTTCTTTTTGACGTAATTATAGTATTTTTTACCCTTAAAAGAGCTCCATCTGGATGATTATCGTAGTGCGTTTTGCCATATTTCATTTGGACGCAAGTGAGTACAGATTTGAGAGACATTAATGGACTCGCTGTATTGTTTCAGGAGTTGAGCTTTCTCATTAACATAATCAGTGTTTGGTGCCAATACATTTTAAATGACTGACTAGCTAATTGTATATTTTTTATAAACAAATGACAATGTGCTGAATTCACACTTTAACCTGCAATAAGCACGGTAACGTGTGTATCCAAAGTTATGCTGCGTTCACACCGGACGCGATGCGAATATTCACATCGCTCTAAACGCTGGAGTTTCCCCGCGGCTGCCAGCTGTGTTTACTCGCATCATTCAAACAAGACGCGCTGGCTCTGGAGCTACAACTACAACAAATGAACATATTTTACCGTGATTAAATTGTAATACACGTTTCTAAATGATGAAGTAACAACATACTGATACCGGTTAGTAACAACCATGAATTAATGTTTTGAAAAGTCTGCAGACAGACGGCAGGCGAAACACCTTTTAAAATGCGTGTGTTCTAAATGGAGATCGGGTCGACCAGGCTAAGCTAACGCAGTATATGCTCCGACCGTCCACACTCACAACAACGGCCTACAGACATAAATAAAGCAGCGACTGTATTCTCCATGACACAGGCAGTCTGTGGTTTGTACTTGTTTAACTTTTGTCCAGTTTCTGAACAGATATGAGGAGCTGTGAGCTCTGAGTGCTAACAGCTAACAGCTAACGGCTGATGTTGTGTGGTTGAACGTCAGTGACGGCGGCTGAGATCCTCACCGCTGATTGGCTTCCGCGAGAACGCGTCACGTGAATTTGACGCTCGAGTTGAAAAAATTTAACTCTCGCGTTTAACACGGCACCGTTCAATCGCCTCAATCGCGTGATTCGCGCCGCGTCCACCGCTTCATGCGCGCCGTCGGAGCGAATTTGCGTCTGTCCGCGTCTCTGCATTGACTTTACATGTAATCGCGCCGCCCCCAAACGTCGCATCGCGTCCGGTGTGAACGCAGCATTAGGATAAAAACCCAGCAGTCATTGAATAAAAGGCGGGAAAACCTCAACAAAACATATTTCGTTTTAATTTAAGAGTCTCCAGTAACTTTTAGTTTCCTCTTGTAGCCCGAAGACAGGCATGTCATTTGCATCGGTGACTCTACAACTAAACGAAAATAAGTTTTGTTGTTTTCCCGCCATTTGTTCAATGAATGCTGGGTTTTGTAGGAAGCGACATGACTCTGGACACACACTTTACCATGCTTATTGCAGGTTAAAGTGTTACAACAATTATTAAAATGTATGTACAGTAATTCGTGTGGCCATTTTTTTTTAAATATTGGAGTGTGGAGGAGTTAGGGTTTGCATCGGGTGAACTGCTAGGATCAAATGTCTTTCAGAAGTTTGAGTAGTAGATAACTGGAGATCCCCGTCACATTTGTAAATATACTATATTATAATTGAGTGCTTACATCGAGAACAATGGGGAACACTGAAGTGATATTGTGGTCCGGTGGTGGGTTGCATGTTCTTGGTTTGATTTAAAATGTTTATAGGATGTGTCGTTTCAGGGGAACAGTGTTGATGTGTTATATTTGAAACGTTGTGCTTTGTTCCCCTCTCTTTTCCCCTCCATTAATACCAAATAACAAACATTATATACAGACTACAGAGAAAGATAGTTGCTAATCAATAAAACTGTTTGCCGTGAGCTGAATAGTAGATGGTGTTTACTCTATATTAACTTTTCTGTCCTTTCTTCAATGTTTATCCTGATATATATTTAATGGTCTTGTTTCTTTCTTTCTTGAGACCATGTTGCATTTCTACACTCGCTGCTTTCACCTCTTTAAGAAATAAATGATTATGAATCAGATGGTTTCTCTGGTCTGACTGGAAGCTCCCTCAGGACAACACGAGTCAGCTGGACTCGCATGATTTGCTTTAAATGAACGAATATCAAATGCATCTTTTGGGTCTTTTTTAGCATTTCGTGACTGCTTTTCCAGTCAAAATTAGTTCTGTGCTTTTCGTGCCAGTTCTAGTTTGTTTCCGCATTAGTTTTCAAGTTTAACTAAATAGGATTCAAGGCTTTTATTGTCATTTGACATTTTAAATACGAATCCAGTTTGCTTTCCCACCAATCAGAGCCCTGTTGGATCCACATCAAGACGTCAGAGTACATAACAACAACAACAACAACAATAATGGCAGACTGTGTCGTAGCTGTGCTCATGTTGCTCTTAATCTTACAAAGTCAGATTGAATTGAAGCTCAATTTCTCCAACGTTGAACTGTTCTCCAGAGAGACGTGGGTAAGTGTTTGCTTCTATAATTCAGTGGCTTTTAGCCTAGCGTTTGCTAACAGCATCCGCCACTGGAAAGTTGAACTCATTGTCTGACGCACACGCAACGTACCCCGATGCATTTCTCCATGATTTAATACTTTATTACGTTTTAAAGCACAACCGCTGGAAACCTAGCGCCATGAAGTTTCTCTTGGATAAGCATAGCCACCGAAGCTAGTCTTACTTGTTGCATTAGCCGTTTTCTACTAGCATATTTTACCGTTGTATTTTTCACTTTGTTCTTTCTTGTGATCGTCTTTTGATCTATCCATAGACTTTCTCTAGGTTCGCAATCAGGCACCAGTTCTGGATTTTAAGAACATATCGGTTCACCTGCTGAATTAAAAACAGAACAAGAAAGTGAAAACTATAATGCAGACTCAGGCAGTCGGCGTGTAGATTCTCACGTACAGTATTATCCTACAGATCAGAACATTACATTTAGCTGACGCTTTTATCCAAAGCGACTTACAATGACAGGGACACCCTCCCTGGAGTAACTAAGGACTAAGTGCCTTACTCAAGGGCGCACTAGTGGTGGTGTTCCTGGCGGGATTTGAACTCACAACCTTCCGATCTCCAGCCCACCTCACTATCCATTAGACCACCACTATCCCAAGAACAATGTACAGAGAAGAGATAACATCTGATCCTTTACAAACAAACACTAGATGCTCTTTTAGTTTGAACTAACAGTGTAATCCTGATTGTTATCCAGTTATCTGTTTTCTTTATGTAACTAAGGGAACACAGTGATCCTGTAATCTGTTACTCACAACACCTTGAAAAGCACCTTATGTGAAAGCTGTGTTTGACACGCTGTAGCATCGCTGCACCAGCATGTTCTGAACCACTTCCTGAGTCCTGATGGAGAGATAAAGGTCCGGGGGGGGCATCACTCGTGTTACGGGCAGAAAGTGCACGTGTCCAGCATGCAGCGCTCAGTTTCACAGACTCAATGCTTGGCCGTGGAGAAGATGGGGGTCCTGCAGATCTTCTCTCTTTCTGGCAGCCGAGCGTCAAAGGGTCCATTCCATACGTGTTGTGTTTCTGGGGCATTCCCTCTATTTTCCCCCTCCTCCTCCTCCTCTTCCTCCTCTTCCTCTTCCAGCAGCATGACTCTATAATCCTGTGTGGGATATCTTTGCCACCCACCCACCACCTCAACTCCAGCAGGACCCTCCTCTCAGGGTTTAGGAGCTAAGGTGTTTTTTCCACATTTTTCTGAGATTGTCTCAAGGACCTGATTAAGATGTTGTTCTGCTTTTGGATAATGAAAATGCCCTTTAAGTTTAATCTTGCCTACAGTAGTCTTTTTCAGTCTTGTCTCCCTAAGGTTGTGGCTCCTTGTTTGGCCTTCTTTGCCTCTGTTCCAATGTGTGTGAATGCTGAAAGCTGAATGCTGAATTCGAGGGGTCGCAAAGACTGGAAGAGTCCTTATAGCGATAATTGATTCTGATCAAGAATAAATGAAAGAGAAAATACAACTGCTGCTCAATCACCAGATTACAAATCCTACGCGGGGAACTATCCAATGTCCAGACAAGAAGATCCTTTTTGGAGTTTATTTCTTTGCATTCCAATAATCCAAAAGTACATCGAACAATGTTTTCACCTATTTTGGCCTCGCTGCCCATTAGCTGGCCCTCTGATGCGACAATTTCCCCTCCACCTGTCTCCAATGAATACCTCATCACCTGGTGCCCAAAGCTGCCTTCAAAATATAAGCAATAGCTACTTTAATGAACTTAAATAATAACACTACATAATTATACATTTACTAACAAACAGCAAGAAAAATAAAAAGTATGTGTCAGAATCTCATCGCATAAACGTCCTCCAAGTCTCCGTTATAATGTTTGCAAAACCATCAAGTGTACACAGGCTCACACGCTAAATTAAGATAGATGTTAGCATTGTTAATACTTGCTAGCAGACATTAGCAAATGTATGTCTTGTAAGTGCACTGTTGAGGAACCTGTGATCTAAGTGTTTTCATTCATCGCATAACTAAACCGTAGTTGTGTATATGACAATACATCTTTGAATCTTGTTGTGTCTCAGTAAAGTCTCTCAGAGCCGCTCGCACTAGCACGTCTTGTTTTGGCATGCAGCAAAGAAATCACTCACAATGGATATTGAATTTCTAGAAAAGTGTCCAGATTTAAGTGAACTTTTATTGTAAACAAATACAATCCGTCTCAACGTGTGGATTTCTTATCGACCATTACGTCATAAGAGAGAGCCTTCCTCAAAAGTCACAGCTGTTCCCGTAGCCGATCATCGAGGTCAGCCAATGGGATGGATGCATTGTATAGATCGCACCTCGCTGCATAAACAGGACCCGTCTGCACCGTCTGTATTCTGATCTGCCCTTGATCTGCCCCATTGCATTATGAAGTGGGATTGGGGGCACTGGGGGCTGAACGGAGCCTTTTGTGTGCCGAGGTGAAGGAGTCATTGGGGTAAGAAGGGTTGGGTTACGTGAAGGAGGGTCAGCATTGTGAATGGAAAGCTCGGAGAGGAGGGCAGGGCAGAGCCAACCGCTGGGCACCAGGGTTGAATTAGAGTGGCCCACTCCTCGGATTGGGTGACCGCCGAACAGATTTCAGAGCGGGTATCCAGTCCAAGACCTTCTTTGTGAAGGTCAGGCTTCATGGACTCTCCAGATGCTGGATACTTTGACCCTGTTCCCACACGTTAACCTCCTGCTGCTCACTAATCTTTGATGTCATTTCTGTTGGGGAAATATTTTCCTAGGCCCATAACTTTGACCCAGTTTATCAGTTTGACCTCGCTGAGCACAGGCCTGTGACCTTGGGCTGCTCTCAGTGTTGTGTCTCTCTATTCCTGCCTGTTGGGGTCAGCTGATGGAGGTGTCATATTATAGTGCTTTATCTTGTTATGCAAAATGTTGATTATTCTCTCAGAACTAGCTAAATGCATGGCTCTGAGGTCGAGATCTTCCCATTCAGAATTGGTTTGGCAACACAGCATGTGTCTTGT